TTTTTCTTTTTTTAATATTTTATAATATTATTAAAATCTTATAATTTTAATCTCTATAATTTTATCTTACTTTTTATTTTATAAGTATAATTTAGATTATTTATTTTATAATTAAATTATTTTTTTAAAATTTTTTATGAGTTTATATAGAAAAATGTATTGAGACTCCTCGATCTTTGAGGGTACCGTAACAATTTCCATAAAATAATACCTTACATAACGAATCTCACATACATATGATATGACTATTTAAAGTAAAATGTTATTAAAAAGAAAGGTAATTTCTCTAATAAAAAAGAGAAACATATTTTCTTCTTTTGACATCTAAATTTAAAATAGGTTATTTTTTTTAATTCATGAAATAAAAAAATGTTAGTAAAAAATTGAGAAATATATTTGTGAAATGAATTTTTAGTTTCCTTAAAAAATAACAAGGATGCAGAAACAATGGGGAAGCGTCTGAAACGGATATAGAAACCTGCGAGTCTGCGACTGCTCCAACGTCACATGGTTGTACCTTCCTCTCGATCTCCAAACACGCACGCGCTTCTCATCTTCTTCCGTGTTTTAAATCAACACTGTTACTTCCTACTTCCTACATAAGACCTGTTTCTTTTTCTTGTCTTGACAAGGGACGACACCGACACATAATTCGCACATAAGACCTGTTTCTGGGAACCAAGTTTTCCCTCATTCGCACATAGTTTTGTGGTCTCTAGTCTTGTCCATGAGTAGTTCAAAGTTGAGAAACCTGTTCTGGGGTGTGTTGTTTTCATGGATATGGTTTGGAGGTTTGGCCATGGCGGCAAGTGACAGTAGCAGCAGCAGCTCCAGAGACCTGGACCAGACACCAACGTGGGCCGTTGCTGCTGTGTGCACTGTTTTCATTTTGATATCCATAACATTGGAAAAGAGTCTCCACAAACTTGGCACGGTATGCAGCTGCAATCAATGAAACTTTTAACCTCTCTTTTTCCAATTATTGTTACTACTTCTTAGCATTAACTCCATCTCTCTGCGTTTCCCCATCAATTCAACTGTCTTCTCTCTTCATTTCACAAAAACGTACATGTCCCCTTTATTTTAATTGACCTTGGACCTACGGAGACGAATAATTTTCTCATGTTTTTGTTTCTTTGTGACAATTTTTTTTTTCTTCCAAATACTGGATGCTTTGTTGTTTCATTTGAATTGAAAATTTGTCCACTTTGAATGGTTTAATCGATTCATCAAATTTGGAGAGCTGTTTTGTTTCATTCAAATTAAAGACTTGTCTTATTCAATTCAAGGTTACTATCGTTCATGCAAGTTATTTATAACACTTGACTTTAAGATTTAAGAAATGTTAGAATTATGAAGAGTTTTGAATAAATTTCTTCAGAAATGCTTCTACGAAGAAAAATTAAAATAAGTTATATATAAGTTTAAATTAGCTTATGTATGAATTAAAAATAAGATTTCGGAGAAATTAATTCAGCTTATGGAGAAACTAGTTTCATTTTTTCTTCTTATTTTTTTCTTTTATAGAGAAATTTATGCAAACATGTGTTATATCAAGTTGAGGAATAGATGTAGATCTGCTATGTTGTTGGCAGCATGATATGTGTTAATTAGAATTATCTTGTGTACTCTGTCCCTCACCCTTTGAAATTTTCTTTAGTGGCTTGGACAAAAGCATAAGAAGGCTATGCTGGAAGCTCTGGATAAGGTCAAAGCTGGTAAGGATTTTAAGTCAAAGCCTCTTTTTAACTTTATGTGCAATAAATAATCATGTGTCATACATACTTTAGCCTATTTTATTCATTCGTTTTGTTTTTTTCTTGCAGAGTTGATGATTTTAGGGTTCATTTCACTTCTTTTGACTTTCGGGCAGAGCTATATTGTCAAAATATGCATTTCTGAAAAGATCGCATCCAAAATGTTGCCATGTCCATATAACTATGAGAGTACCGATAGTGCGTCAGATACTGAAGAGAACCATCGTAGGAAACTTCTGTCATATGAACGTAGATATTTAGCTGCTGATACTACCTCGTACAAATGCAGCAAGGAGGTATAACTGTGCTTCAGTGCTTCCTCATTCTTTTTCACTTATAAATTAAACTTTAGTTGTTTATCAGCATCTACTCTATGTTATTTTTTGAAAGCTGAGTAGTAGGCTAAACTTATAAGCAGTTGATGTAGGGTTTTTGTTTGATTCGTTGTTGATGTATGTTGAAACATTAAGGTAAGCTTGCTGTAGAGGATAATAATAGTTCTTTTGTGAATCCTTTATATTATCACCTCTTCTGTAAAGTTATAACGGTATTTGAATTTATCCTATTCATTTATGCAAGGACAATATATAAAAAAAATTATTTTTCACAGCCTGAATTTAATTGCAATTGTATCTCCTAACAGTAGCTGCTTATATAATTGTTGGTGATTACAGGGACATGAGCCACTTTTATCTGTCAATGGATTGCACCAGTTACACATCCTCATATTCTTCTTAGCAGTTTTTCATGTGCTTTACAGTGCTATCACAATGCTCCTTGGAAGACTAAAGGTCTGTTTGTTTTTTTAAAATTTTTGTCGACTAGTTCAAATATTTTTTCCACATGTGCAACTGCATATTAAGGATATTGAGTTGAGGGTTACTCAACCTTATGTATTTTTCTTCTTGCTTTGTTAGCCTACAAGATTTATATACTTTTGGTCATGTGGTTAGATCATTAGGTGATGTGCCTTAAATCGATTCAATTCAGACTTACCCTTGATGAAACCATAAATGCTGTCCTGTTATTGTTCCGTTAAAGTACCAAACTTAGAGTTTTCTTTCTGCAGATACGTGGTTGGAAGGCATGGGAGGCAGAGACTTCTACTCATGATTATGAGTTCGCTCATGGTATGAGTTCCAACAATGAATGCTTTTCTTCTCCTAGCGTAAAGATACTAGTATTTCATCAGTTTTACTTAGAAAATGCTATTGCCTGAAATCTCATGCCTATATTTGTGTTTTACTATTTATGCGTTCAGATGCTTCAAGATTTAGGCTTACACATGAAACATCATTTGTGAGGGCCCATGCAAGTTATTGGACAAGGATTTCCATCTTCTTCTATATTGTAAGACCCATCTTACTAATCTCTAATTTTGCTAACAAGATAGAGGCACCAATGTAGACATCTAATATTTCTTAAAGAAAAAGAAAGGTGGTAATCTAGTGGCATTGATTTGAATTATAAATTGAACAGTGATTTAGAAAATCAAATTTGTCTATTGTAGAAAATTTTGTAAGTCAAATGTTCTATTCCTTCTATTTCTCGTGCTTATTTTTAAATTCATGATGTAACATATCTTTTATTTTCCAATTTCAGAGCTGCTTCTTTAGGCAGTTTTATAGGTCTGTCCGTAAGACTGACTTCCAGACTTTGCGCCACGGGTTTATCAATGTGAGTCACACTCCCTATAGAAGAATATGTTGTTTACATTATTGATTTAAGTAACTTCAATATTAACAGTGAATTATGTATAGGTCCACCTGGCTCCTGGAAGTAAATTTAATTTCCAAAAGTATATCAAAAGATCATTAGAAGATGATTTCAAGGTGGTTGTGGGAGTCAGGTAACACTAACAACAAAACAGTGGATTCAATTACATCCTTATATTATTAATTATATGGTTCAATTACCCATTGGTCTCTATAATTTTATAAATTTTACCTTTAAGTCCCTATAATTAAAAATATTTTATTTTAGTCTATTATAGATATCATTTTTGTTTCTTTGTAGATCTTATAGTTTTGTAAACTTTATTTTTTAGTTCCTATAATAATAGAATACATGAACTAAAAAGAAACCAAAATGACATATAAAGGGACTAAAATGGGACATTTTTAATTATAGAAACTAAAATGTAAAGTTTATAAAATTATTGGGATTAAAAGGATAATTAAACCTTATTATACTATTCCTTGTATATTTGAAATGTGTGCTAACTATGTTGTTAACAGTCCTGTCCTCTGGGCATCAGTTGTAGTTTTTCTACTCATCAATGTTAATGGTAAGCAACTATGTTGGTCGGAGAGTCCTATGGAATTTATTAATTTTGCAGTTGAAAATTCAACTAAATTCAATTAATATATTTTCCAGGATGGCGTACTCCAATTTGGGCAGCCTTAATCCCTATTATTGTAAGCATTCTGTTGTTCTCTGTATATGTATTTCTCAAATTGAATAGGATCTACAATTATAATGAATACCATTTATTTGAATTGGTTACAGATAATTTTGGCCGTTGGAACAAAACTTCAAGCCATATTGGCCAGGATGGCTCTTGATATCACCGAAAGACATGCAGTTGTCCAAGGAATGCCTCTTGTCCAAGGCTCAGACAAATACTTTTGGTTTGGTCAGCCACAGTTGGTTCTTCATCTTATCCATTTTGCTTTGTTCCAGGTATTCTTTTAGCAGAAACTAGAACAAATGTTTTTTGATACGGAATAGACGATGTATAACTACTGAGATTAGAACAAATGACCATTTCTCTTGTATAATCTATAATGAAGAAGATAACATATGCTTACCTTGAAAACTAGTCTGTCTGTTCAGGCAAATCTTATTTTTTTTTTTATAAACAGCTTCAAAGTGATTAACTTCTTCAGTCACTTGAATTTGCAAAATTTAAATTGGCTGTATTCAATTTGAGATAGTTTGATGGATATCCTGTTAAAAATTATATCAAACTTCCTATATTAACCTTTGTTCTTGTGAGAGTTAAAATATTTATCTGAAAGAGTTTTATCTCCGTTTTTGTTTGTTAAAAGTTAGCAACTAACTGACTTTCTTACACTTGCAGAATGCGTTCCAAGTAACATATATCTTGTGGATATGGGTAATGAAGTTCATGACACTAAGTTGACAATTGGCTAATATGATTTTATTTTCTATATTCATGAATTGTATAAGAACAATTTCTTTCTTTTTTTGTAGTATTGTTTTGGGGTGAGAAACTGTTTCCGTACTGACTACAAGCTTGCCATGATAAAAGTAGCTATAGGGTAAGCCTTTCATCTGAAATTCTCTTTCCGGCCTAAGAATACATTTCATGTTTTAACTACTACTTTTATATGAACATATAGTTAGTTGAGGCTATCTCTTTGCTAATAAGAACAATATTAAAGAGAGGAGTCTTATACAAAATGTGTGTTCCTACTAGTATTTGTCTTAGAATTATTGACGTCCTCTAATAATATCATACGTTAATATGATTAATTCTGACGGGGTTTGCAGGGTTGTGATGCTATGCCTCTGCAGCTATATCACCCTTCCATTATATGCTCTTGTAACTCAGGTATATAACTAGATGTTTTTATTTGCAAGTTATGAACATTTGAATTGGTGTAATTGGTGAGTATGAGCATAAACATAAACACATGCAGATGGGTTCAAGGATGAAGAAAGCAATATTTGATGAGCAAACAAGCAAGGCTCTAAAGAAATGGCACATGGCTGTGAAAAAGAAGCATGGAGCAGTGAAGCTGGGAAAGTCGAGTGCACGTACCTTAGATAATGGAAGCCCCATTGGTTCAACAATGAGCTCCCCTGGGCCCACACTGCACCGTTTCAAAACAACCGGCCACTCAACCCGCTCTTCAACGTACGAGGATCAAGACGATTATGAGTCCGATGATGTTGAGGTGTCTCCCGTGTCGCAAACAACTAGCTTCATTGTAAGAGTGGATCCTGGTGAGCAACATGCAGAAGAAGAAGAAGAAGATCATAAACACCATAGTCATAGTGAGGGAGAAATCAACGATGAAGCTGAATTCACCTTCGTCAAACTCAAACCTCATCCTGGGCAAAGAACCACCACGTAGCATATATATATTCATTATTTTAATTAGCACTTTCTAGATTATGGTGTCTTTAAACTGCATGAATTTGTACATTATTGTGCATAATTCACGTGTCCGTAATGAAATCATTGCCATTGCATTATTATATCCATGCTTTTAGGGACGTTTGCTAGCAATTTTTTTTTAATTGAAAATTCAAAGGAATTATGAAAATTTGTTGATTATTTAGAAATTAAATTTGTACACTATATTAAATAAAACAAATAAAAATAATATAATATTTTCATTCTATATATGAAAACTTTATTTTTATTTTTAAAAAGTTAATTTTCACTTCTCATATAAATTTTGGGAATATTATTTTTTAAATAACAAATTAAATATAAGAAACTAACCATTTGATGTAAGATTTTCAAAAAGTAATTTTTTACAAAACGCCTTAATTTAAAGTTCAAGTAGAAAAAGGCTTTTGTAAAAAAATACTTGAGAAACTGAATTAATTAGGAATGTTTAAATACAGGTAAAATATTAACAATAATAAGGAATGAATTTTTGCTTTATAAGAATATTTTTATTGATGTCTTTAATGTGAATGAAACTGAATTCTAACTTTTAAGATTTTCTTATAGCATAAGAAAAAAATAATTGGAAAAAATAATCATCGATTGAATTTCTTGACAACTAAAAATTATCAACAAAACTAAATATACTCTCTCTCTCCCTCATTTTAAAGTATTTTCTTTCTTACCGTTAGGAAGAGATTCTATGTCTTGAGTTGTCTGCTGTTTAGTTTTCATTCTTTACAAAAAAAAAAAAAGTATTTTCTTTCCTCTTTATAAATAAATATAAATATAATTACCTCAAAAAATGTAAGTTACATTTGAATCCCTTTTAATCTAAATTATTTTTTTAGAGTTTTTTTTTTCTTTGAAGTGATTTTTAACATTTTTGGCAGATAGTTTTAAATATTTATTATCAATTTTATGGCTTTAGGAAATAATTAAAATAATATTTTAGATAAAATTTCAGAATCAGATGTCCAAAACTAGTTATTGGTGACTCTGTAGTATATACAATTATGTGAAGTCGATAATAAGTAATAAAGGTAAATATTTAAAATTTTAAAACATCATACCTCAATGATATATTGTCAGCAAGTACTATACCTAATTAAATTCTTGACTTTTCTACGTAAATAAAAGATTCAGACTGATCCAAAAATATATAAATAAAGAAAAAGATAGATGTAAATTTAAGTTTACTTAAGAGAGGAAAACGTAATTTATTCAAAATATAATAAAAAAATATTTAAGAAAGAATTGATTGAATTGATTAATATTATTTGCTTATAGTAAAATAAATAAATAAATGAGAACATAAAAAATAGAAAAAAGTTTGAAAGCTTTAGTTTTGAAAAATAAAAAATGAAAACTCAGTTAATTTTTTATTGAAAAATTATTTTACCGATAATTTAAAAATATTCCATTAAGTTTGATATTGGTTAAAACAACTTAATTTGATACACAATTAATAATCATCATCTTCCAAAAAATTTAATTATCATCCAATTTTATGTTGACTATGAGTTCATTTAATAAATTTGATTGTATAGTTATAGTTATACAAAATGTCAAATATGTTGAATACAATATTATAGTTCATTAAGTATCATTATTAAACATTTTTATACTGGCATTGAATCAAAATTAAATTCATTCATATATAGTGCAGTAAATTTACAGTGTCTTACACCAGTGATCTACATAAGACGAGCACATCACCAAGTTTACACAATATCTTACAAATTTCGATTGATTTGCTTGAAACATAAAAATGATCATTAAAATTGTATTTGATGAAGTATCTATCAATATCATATGGGTGGAATCGTGTTGTGATTCCAATGATGAAGATAAAATGTCATAATATATTGACATTTTGCCGAATAATTAATATGTTGAACTGGGTGATACGTGGACAATAATATCTGCTATGTAATCATCACTTAATATCTTGTGACTTGTGAGATCGACGACGCCGTTGAAATGAGTGAACGGAGAAAGTCGAAAAGGAAAGGAAACCGTAACGAAAAATATCATCTCAGGTCTCAGCCCGCATGCGTTGAATTTAAAAACAAAATTAAGTGAACAATCACTTTACATGTTTTTTTTTTTTGGTGCACTGGAAAATTAAAAGAATCTACAAACGAAGGAAGGAACGTCCTCTAGCATCATCACGTATTCGGAGAAATTAATTCAGCTTATGGAGAAACTAGTTTCATTTTTTCTTCTTATTTTTTTCTTTTATAGAGAAATTTATGCAAACATGTGTTATATCAAGTTGAGGAATAGATGTAGATCTGCTATGTTGTTGGCAGCATGATATGTGTTAATTAGAATTATCTTGTGTACTCTGTCCCTCACCCTTTGAAATTTTCTTTAGTGGCTTGGACAAAAGCATAAGAAGGCTATGCTGGAAGCTCTGGATAAGGTCAAAGCTGGTAAGGATTTTAAGTCAAAGCCTCTTTTTAACTTTATGTGCAATAAATAATCATGTGTCATACATACTTTAGCCTATTTTATTCATTCGTTTTGTTTTTTTCTTGCAGAGTTGATGATTTTAGGGTTCATTTCACTTCTTTTGACTTTCGGGCAGAGCTATATTGTCAAAATATGCATTTCTGAAAAGATCGCATCCAAAATGTTGCCATGTCCATATAACTATGAGAGTACCGATAGTGCGTCAGATACTGAAGAGAACCATCGTAGGAAACTTCTGTCATATGAACGTAGATATTTAGCTGCTGATACTACCTCGTACAAATGCAGCAAGGAGGTATAACTGTGCTTCAGTGCTTCCTCATTCTTTTTCACTTATAAATTAAACTTTAGTTGTTTATCAGCATCTACTCTATGTTATTTTTTGAAAGCTGAGTAGTAGGCTAAACTTATAAGCAGTTGATGTAGGGTTTTTGTTTGATTCGTTGTTGATGTATGTTGAAACATTAAGGTAAGCTTGCTGTAGAGGATAATAATAGTTCTTTTGTGAATCCTTTATATTATCACCTCTTCTGTAAAGTTATAACGGTATTTGAATTTATCCTATTCATTTATGCAAGGACAATATATAAAAAAAATTATTTTTCACAGCCTGAATTTAATTGCAATTGTATCTCCTAACAGTAGCTGCTTATATAATTGTTGGTGATTACAGGGACATGAGCCACTTTTATCTGTCAATGGATTGCACCAGTTACACATCCTCATATTCTTCTTAGCAGTTTTTCATGTGCTTTACAGTGCTATCACAATGCTCCTTGGAAGACTAAAGGTCTGTTTGTTTTTTTAAAATTTTTGTCGACTAGTTCAAATATTTTTTCCACATGTGCAACTGCATATTAAGGATATTGAGTTGAGGGTTACTCAACCTTATGTATTTTTCTTCTTGCTTTGTTAGCCTACAAGATTTATATACTTTTGGTCATGTGGTTAGATCATTAGGTGATGTGCCTTAAATCGATTCAATTCAGACTTACCCTTGATGAAACCATAAATGCTGTCCTGTTATTGTTCCGTTAAAGTAATCACTTTACATGTTTAGATGCATGCCAACAATACCACCAAATATTTATCATAATATATACTCTTATAATTTTCATATTCTTTGAACATTATTTTATTCTTATACTAAACTATCTCTAATTAAACCACCCATACACCTTTCAATTACAAATTATTCTTATACCTTACATTTTAATTTAATCTAATTTTATATTTTAAATAAATATATAAAGACTAAAAGTATCTCTTTTCTCTTAGTATGTATAAAAAAATATTTAAAATTGTGTCCTAAAATATAAAATAGTGACTATTTTGAAAGAAGAATATTAATTTCAAATTAAATGTCCAAAATATTAATTTAAATGTCCAAAATAAACCAAAATAATTTTTCCTTTAAAACACCAAAAAATATATTTTTGCTATAAAAAAATAGATACTATCTTGTTATAAATATTATCATTCTTAAAAAACAAAATCTTTTATAAAAGATATATATGATGTTTGAAAAAATATCAGGTTTACCTAAAATAGTTAAGTGGAGCAAAAGGTAATAATTAAGTAAATAGGGTGCTAAAACCACCTAATAAAAAGCATGTGAAACTTTAGGTGAACAGTATTACAGTATGGAAAGGCAAAGATTATTCCTATTATATGCTAAACGGTTCATGATTATCTTCTTTCTTACCTTATGGATAATCATATATATGTCATAAAGTTACACCATGGATATCTATCTACATCATATTCATATCCACACTGTTATATTCACCTCACAATAAGGTTCCAACTGGCAAATTTTAGTCAAACAAACACAGCGGGAGGTGTAATACCCAGTCAGGAACCGTGTAATTTGGTGAGACCTTTCTTTAAATAATTTAAACTAGATATACTTTTAAATTCAACTATTACTATTAGCATTTATATGACCTACCACTTGAAAGTTTTTAGTTTATAAAAATTGATTTTATTCATATAAAAGATATTTATTAATTATATTATATTTTATTAATTTCATGCTTTTTTTATAATATTTTTTTTTGAAATTTTTCTTATTATAAATAAGAAGAAAAAAGTTACAACCAAGTTCGGATATTAAAAAAAAATAAGTTAAAAAGAGTAGTATTAAATGAAGTAAAAATAAATAAACTTTATATAAAACATTTTTTTATATAGAAAATAATATAAAGAGTAACACAATAACCAACTTATTGCCCATATGCTAATTAACATGCAGAAATGAGGAATAAAATCACAAAGTAATAGATGTAGGTAGTCGGATACGATGAATTTCAGACTCACATATCAAAACTAATATAATTTACTAGCTGTATTATTTAGATTCCAACTCCAACAAATGGTTTATTGATTTAAGCGAATTTCTATTTGAGAGGATCTTAATTTTAATGGGTGATTTTTTTATAAATAAAGATATATTAGACTTTAAATCATTTAATTGATTCAAGTAAAATTTTTATTTAATTTATGATATATATTTTTTAAAAGTTTTGTATCTTTATATATATAGTCATTTAAATATTATTTATTTTATTTAAATTTAAAATGAATAAAATTATTTAAGTTTTAAATAATTTAAATATTATAATATTTTTATAGGTACATGATACAAGGAAAAAGAAGTTACAAATTACATAATTTTTTGTACATCAATAATAAAGATTAAAGATGATATAAATAAGTTAAACTTTTGGGTTTGAAAAATAATTACTTTGACTTTTATTTTGTTTGGACGCTTGAGTTCAAACCTAGATAGATTCAAAACTCGAATTAAATCTAACAGAAATTAATCATTTTAAATTATTTTTTTAATCCACCTAAATCATTAATTTGTTCAAATTCATCCATTTAGCTTTTCTTTTTCTTCTATTTTTTTAATTTTTGGATTAGGTTTGAAGTTGGTGCTTACCCTAAAAATATGTTTCAAATCGTTATACTCAAACTCCAAGAAAATGACTAAGAGTATTTCCAAAACCTCATTAGAGATACTCTAATGAAAGAAATGTGAGGTCAATTTTATTATTTGTGATAAGTATGATAATAATTATATTATATATTATTTAAAATAATATTATATTACAAATAGATTTATTACTAAATAAAAGTATAACACAAAAGTAACAAAATTATAATATTAATTTATTATAAATTAATTTATTATTGATAACAAAATTATTTTATTAGCATATTATTTTATATTTATTAATTAGTAAAATTCCTAATAAATCTATTTATTCATTGTTATTTAGTAGATAAAAATAAATATTTATTAATTAATGTGTTATTTATTAGTATATATTAATTTATAAAAATATTAATTATGATGAATTATTTAATATTAATAATAAATAATGATATAAACTAATTTATTATTTATTCATAAATTAATAAATATAAATTAAATTATCGATGAACTTTTACAAAAATATAAATTAATAAATATAAGTTAACATATATTAGTAGAGCTGTAATAATAGACTACCAGATCTAGCCCATCACGGTTTGGTTAATGAGTGGACCAATCTAATTCGACTAACCTTTTAGCGAATTAACAAAAAATGAGTTTAGTCTGATTCATTATGGGTTGATTCACTTAATTTTGAAAAAAAAATATAAAAAATGTATTTTTTTAATGTCCAACCATATATTTTTTAAATATCAATTTTTTAAATTATATTTTTAAATATCTAACCAATTAAATATATTTAAAAAAAACTATTTTTTTAATGTCCAACCACACAATTTACTCTTTTTTTAATTTATTTTCTTTTTTTTTCCCATAAAGTGAGTTCCTAACCCAGTAAAATAATCCTTCTTGTGTGACATTTGGATGAATCAATAAAAAGGTTTTATATTTTAAATTTTCTTTGAATGGATTGTGGATTTTTAATTTTTTTTTAGTGGACTCATCACGGATTTATTTTGAGTGACTCATATTTTTAATGAGTCAGGTTAAATTTTCAATAATACTAAAATTGTAAAATATTTTGAGTCCAACCTGACTTAAACATACGGGAAACTTGATTAATTCATAAATTGTGACTCGTTTTAATAGTTTTATATATTAGTATATGTTGACAAAATGTAAATATATTTTATATGATATATATATATATATATATATATATAACAAGGTTAATTAAAAATGTTTTTATTTTAAACCTTTAGTTTTTAATAATTTTTAAAACTTCTATTACCTATTTTGTGATAATTCGAAAAATAATTGACTTAAATATTTGCTAAACAAATATTTATATAAGAAGAAAATAAAATATATTATACCTCCAAACTTATATTTTGCTCATATGTGTGGAAGAGATTAATACCTAATGCACTCCCAACTTCTTATGCCCAAAGGACACATTTGGTAAGAAGAAAATTCTGGTTTCAAAAGAACCTAAAGTTAGGAATGTTATTTTATTTTTCTTTTTATATTTTTATTAAATTTTCAGCGCTTACTTTTTCTTAACCACTATAGTTAGGATATTTATTTCATGAGTGAGAATTTGGGATATTCCTACGTACAAGTTTAATCTCCAAAATAATTTTCAATATAGAATTGAGTCACCCTTTAAATTCTTATCTCTTTCTAAAGATGTTTTGTGCGAGAATTAAACTTCTGTTCACTCTTTCAAGCTTAAGATATTTGTCACATGAGTCACACGTCACACCTATTGAAATTCAATACCTTTTACATTCTTTTCAATTTTATTTTATTACATATTCATATATATTTTTAAGGATTTTTCTTTAAAATTAAATTTTTTTTCTTCTTCTTTTAAATTTGAATCCTCTTTCAATTTCTTTCCACCGATCTTTACAATTTTCTTTTTATTTAAATGTTTTCAATTTGATTAATTTCTTTTAAAGTTCTACATTTTATTATAAAGTTCATTTACAATTAATGTCAATCTATACACTTGGTTTTCATTTAATTACTTTCCTCTTTTCAACTTTCAAGTTACATTCTTAATCAATTGCAGAATAAGAGTTTCTTTTGAAACTTTTTTGACTTTGCCATTTTAAGTTGCAAGTTGCAATTTTGATCAAGTTGAAAAGTAATTTGATTTACTTCAGGGCTGAATAAGAATTAAATTAATGCTTCGTGTACAAGCATTTATACTTATTAAAAATAACAACGTTGAAATAATCTAGTTAGATTATATTATATTTAGATTTGACTATTTAGATTTGACTAGTGTTAGGATAATATGTACAAAATCTTAAATTCAAATTTTATTTTTATTATTATAATTTTTTAAATAAAAACTGGTACTAAAATTCATTTGGATTAGTTATTAATGAGAGTCTTGATCAAATAAAGTGAAACAGAAAATGTTAAATTATACTTTTTATTTTTATTTTATTTTTAAAACTCATTTTAATCCTTTCCATTTTAAAATATTTGTTTTAATAACTTATTTCCTAATTTTGAATCAATTTGATTCCTTTGCAATAATAATTTTTTGATTAATTTAAAACTTAAAATATGTTTTATTTAACTCAATTACATGAAAACTATAAAAAAAATGCAATTCAAATTAAAAGCTATCATAAAAATTGTAAAAATTACATAAAAATAAGTCTAAAAATAATTAAAATTTTCAAAAATTTAATTTCGTATTATTTAGATAAATATTTTACATGATTTCACTATGTTTATAATCCTATTAAATTCAAATAATTGAATTTTATAATTTTCATATAAATAAATATAATATTATAAATTTTATATTTTGAATTAATTATTAAAAATTATTCAAAAATGTATCTGTAAATTAAAAATAAACATTATTTTGAAAGGATCAAATTTTATAAATATAAAAGATAAAGAATCATAATAAACATTTAAACAAATTAAAAATTAAAAATATAATTTCACTAAAAAAAAAAAAAATCTATTACCAAATATATATCTGATAAAAGAGAAGACTAATTGGTGGGAGAGATGGATGAATTAGTGAATTAGAGCAGCCCCTTCATGGGAATGAGACGTGGTTTCTCTTTAAACGCCATTGTGACCACCTTAAAAAGGATAAGCCATCGCAGCAACTTAAGGATTCATCTCCTTTCTTGTCTGTCCTGACCTTGATACATACTCGCTTGTTCGTTTATGAATGTTTCTTATCTGTGACTGTTCCACATAAAGTTTCTACCCTTTTCCCACCACTTAGTTCCCAACATGTTCCATAACGCTAACCAACTAAACAAAATATAACTCGACATACACCACATCCTCTACTAGATATTCTGATATATATTATTTATTTTTTTCTTATTGTTGTTTTGCTACCATGGACACATGCTCAATGGGGAAGCCATGCTTTTCTCTGCACTGTCACACATCCACTGCCGAATTGAGAAAGAAATGGGGCTCACGCTGCCTTTAATCTCTATCAATCATTGATTTGGGGATTGCAACATTAATTATATAACAAATGTTGTATGCAACTGAAAAGGATCGAGTTCAGACCTTACCCTACATTGTCAGACACTAGCACATGTTCATCGATCCTTAGTGGCTCACTCATCAAAGTAGTAGAAAAGTCTATAAAATAAAGCCTTCAAAAGACGCACTCTCTCGCCTTACCTGCATTAAATCCATCCATCCTCTCCTCCTACCCACTTTCTTTCTTGTCACTCCTAATACACATTTCGTCCTTATTTTATGGAACATTGTGATTTTTTTTTATAACAATAATATTAATATATACCAAATATTATTCATGGTCAAAATGACTAATAATAACACACATAACTTAAATATTTTTCTATTAATATAGTCTATTCCAAATCTAACTTTAATTTGGTTTATGAGATATTATGATATAACCGTTTTATAATTTCTAAACATACAGAAACCACTACGGGGACATTTTTATGTGCAATAAATTCCAGCCATCATTAAAGGTTTTTCTTTTTTCCCCTTAGTTTCTCCCAGAAAAAGGGGGGGATTCCTTGTATGAGAAAACGAATTTAGCTGAAGAGATGGGGTGGATTAATGTTGAGATTAGACATCTCTCTACTGGCCAAAACAAAACCCTGTAGTTTGAGGTGAAATTTCCATCAACTTTTCATAAAGGACAATACTTTCCATCTGTATCTAGATTCTATGATTTCCAATGACGGAAACATACGCCTATTGCTCCGGTGCCCTCTTATTTGAAGGGATTTTGGTGTCCCTCAGTACAAAAGTTGGGTTTTTAGGAGCAATAAGGTAAATTGATCAATTTATCAATTTACCTTATTGTCCCTAAAAACCCAACTTTTGTACTGAGGGGCACCAAAACCCCTTCAAATAAGAGGGCACCGGAGCAATAGGCGTATGTTTCCGTCATTGGAAATCATAGAATCTAGATACAGATGGAAAGTATTGTCCTTTATGAAAAGTTGATGGAAATTTCACCTCAAACTACAGGGTTTTGTTTTGGCCAGTAGAGAGATGTCTAATCTCAACATTAATCCACCCCATCTCTTCAGCTAAATTCGTTTTCTCATACAAGGAATCCCCCCCTTTTTCTGGAAACATATATTTCACGTTTGGAAAACAAATCACGAAAGAGAGCTTTATTTCGTGCTATCAATTTAGTGATGAAGGTAAAGACCGCGTTCTATTTTTCAGTGTCATATATTTTAAAATTTAAAAAAAAAATAACGATAAAAAACTAAAGTCAGGACACAAATCTTGAGGAATAAGGAATACTACGTACGTAAATATAGGTTTTCGTTGGTATGTACATGCAGCGTAGTATCAAGTGGCGAAACAAATTAAAACTATAGGTTATGAACAATGGTACTAATTGATTATGTCTTCCTCCAAGAAACACGAAAAGAGAGAGAGGGCCACTTGCTATTCTCGGTTCTTTTAAATTATCAACTCTCTTTTTGAAACTCTAAATAAAGGTATACTTGTGGTTTTGAACGCCCACAAGTTGCTAACACAATCAGCTGCGAAGATACACATACAGCAACAAACACGAAACTTAGAATTTAGTGGCACCATTGGCTGCGAATTCATATTTCTTTTCCGGTTAGAATTTTAAATACCCGAAATAGAGATTCGCATTTATTCGTTGATGATGGATGGGTTATATATTCACTTCGTGGTTCAGTTGATTTTCCTCATTCTCTTTCATAGAACGTATTTTTAATTCTTCACGTCTTTTAGTTCAAAAGATATATCCTAAAAAAAACAAAAAGAAGAAACTGCCATCTAGTATGTATCCTCTAGAGTCGAGAACCCTCCAAAAAAATTTACTTGTAGTTTACACTTACATTACATATACATGTTCCTATGTTGCAAATTTGTTATTGTTATCGTATATTTTTTTTATCTAAATAAAAATCAATATACAACAAAGAAAATGAAAGTATTAATTACTATCATAATTGTTTTGAAATGTAAAAAATATGAATTTATTATGGTTGCTTAACAACATAGTAGGCCTAAAGAGATAAGGTTAGAGCATTAAACAGGTTTGGGCAAGGGTAGAGTTAAGTCCAGTTTTGTCCCTTACCTCCCCACCCACTTGCCATAAGAAGGGTCCACATAATTGTATGTACCTACCAAACAAACAAAGTACGAGTACGCCTTTCTCTTTCTATCTCTACATCTCACTCTTTCTTTCTACTCATGATCTTGACTCAAGTCTTCTCACAACCCTTAATCCCTTATCTTCAACCGCACTAACCTCAATATTTCCCACTATCAAACCCCAAACCCTCCATCAACAATAAATACCTACCCCAATTATTTAAGCCCCCATTTCCACTCCAAAACCTAAAACCCCTCTTCTCTTCTTCACTCCCTCCCAACCCCAAACCCAACAAAAAATCACTATTTTTTTTTTTATTTCTTAAGATACAAACATGACGCGCACGCTCAGAATTCTGAAATCGGCGGAGAACGCAACCGCGGTGGCGGCGGCGGCGCCTCCGCCGGAGGCGGTGGCACTGGAGTCGGACTTCGTGGTGATTCTGGCGGCGCTGCTGTGCGCGCTAATATGCGTGGTGGGGCTGGTGGCGGTGGCGCGGTGCGCGTGGCTCCGGCGAGGGTCCGGCGGCGGAGGGTCGGCGATGCAGGCGGCGGCGGCGAACAAGGGCGTGAAGAAGAAGGTGGTGCAGTCGCTGCCGAAGTTCAACTACGTGGACAGCAACCCTAGCAAGTGGGTTGCGACGTCGGAATGCGCGATTTGCCTGGCGGAGTTTGGCGCCGGCGACGAGATCCGCGTGATGCCGCAGTGCGGACACGGCTTCCACGTGACCTGCATCGACACGTGGCTCGGATCTCACTCCTCCTGCCCTTCCTGCCGCCAGGTTCTCATGGCCGCGCGCTGCCAGAAGTGCGGCCGGTTCCCCGCCGCCGGCTCCTCCAGAACGCCGGCGACGGAGCCGGAGTTGAAATCTCGAGAAGACGACAATGCCGCTTCTAATAGTAACAGTAATCATAATAGTACCAGTGAGATGGAACATCATCATCATCACAGCCACCATGCCAACACTGGGTTCTTGCCCTGAATTAACATAGTTTTTTGTATTTATTAGCTGTTTCTTTTTTCTTTTTCTTTTTTTACTTTTTGTAACTTTTTTCCTTGTTATCCCTTCAAGTTGATCAAAGAGATCGGAATTTGGGCCATTTTTCTCTTTTGTGTGTATATATCTTGCAGAGATTAGATTGGTGCGTATTATAATTTTATAATATAATGATGTATAAAGTTGTAATTAGCCGAAATGTTAAAGTTAAAAGTGTTTTAAAAAAGTGAGGGTTTTTTTTTATTTTTTTTATTTTACCCTGTTAGATACTCCAGATGAGAGAAATGATTGTGTAAGAATGAAAAGTGAAAACTACTCCACGCATACTTGTATTGCTGAAATGATTGGAGTATGTTTTTTTGAGGAACAGGGTTTAAAAATAATATAGGGAAAAAGACAGCTTTTGATGTTGTTGAGTTTTTTTTTTCTTCTTTTAAATCATTATAGATGCTACTTTATTTTTTTGACGCAGATAAGTTTAGTAGAGAAAAGTTAATTAAATTAGAGATTTTATCCAAAGCTCGCTAGTTACCATCATGATTTAGTTTAGTGATAGAATAAAATAGTTAGCAAATAAATTATCATATGTAAGGATTTTCTGCGATTAGAATTTAGATGTTTTTATGAAATTGGATTAAAACTTGAAATCCATTATTATAGGGCGTGTTTGAATTAATGTGAATTCTTGCATTAGAATCTGAGATGAGAGTAAAAAGAAAGGCATGATAGTGTTGAATTTGATGATATGAAGAACCTTGGAGTTGCAATGGTGCAGCAGGAAACGCGGAGCATTGATTTTGTCGTTTTGACGAGGGAAAGGAGGAAGCACATACAAGTACTGTGACGTGTTTCATGTCAGACAATTTTTGAAGTATTTTTAAATTATTTTAAAAAATATAAGTGAGATATCATATCAATTGAATAAGTATTTTTTTACTAATAAGAAAAGTTACAAAATCATTACGAAAATCGAATCTAAATCCTTTTATTTCTACTTTATCTCCTTCTCTCTCAACTACCGGATTAACTTAGTAATCTTAATAGTATGTCATTTGATTATATAAATTTATTAAAAAATAAAAAGATTCATCAATTTAGTTAAAGTCATTAAATTTAGAAAAACAAAATATATACCAACAATATTGTAAGAGAAAATTATAGAGTCATTTAATTACAAATTAATATATGTTTGAAGTTTATTATACAGATACATATTTATTGAACTCTTATATTTATCCTAACATTTTAAAATTACCTTAGTATTAATAACATATATTCTTATTTTTATAAAATAGTTTTATTATCTTTAATTCTTTTTTTGTACATTATCTTTAATTCTTTAATGCTCGTTTTAACTAATTTATTACTATTTTAATTTGTATTAACTATACATGTGAAGAAACACAATTAAGAGTCGTCTGAATATACAATACAAATAAAGTAAAAAGAAATACAAAATGAAGCATATATGATGAAATAATAAAATATATAACCATCCGTACTTAACATCATCCATATTGAGCATTATGTATTACCAATTTCCTTCATTTATTATTCTCGTGTATTATCATTTTACTTCATTTATTATTGTTATACATTTATGATTTGTTTGGATAATGAAATATTTTAAGAAAAAAAGAAGTGAAGTAGAAAGAATTAGTAAAAAAGAGAGAGAACTAATTAGAAAAACAAATAAAAAATTTAAATTATTTACATTAGAAAAATAAAATAAAAACGTAGAAGAGAAAGAATATATATATATATTGACCACATTGAGCTGTA